GAGATGTGATTGTGATAATTTTCCTATTGCAGTATCTTCTAAAAACGACTGTTACTTTGGTATTGACAAATTTCAAACGCGTTATATTCCAAAATTTTAAAAATGATTTATTATATATATTTATTATTATTATAGAAAACATTCTTTCTGAATTGTGGAATTATTATTATTATTATTATTATTATTATTATTATTATTATTATTATACAACACCCTAATTGGAAACAGCCCAACAAGTGGTTGGATGAGAAATTTGTTTTCTTTATTGCTAAAAGAAGATGGCTCAGAAATGTTCTTTGTATTTGTGGATTTAATGAACAGACATAGTTGTCCTGCATATAACAACAGCTTCTATCATTCTGATTAAAAAGAATGTTCAGGTTGGGTAGAATGTTAAAACCATCTTTTTAGAACGAAATGACACCCATGGCCTTCATATTTCTATTATGGTTCTGATAACGGTGAGATATATTCTCTTTGACAAATATATTTCTACAATTTTTATTTACTAATTCAGACAGCTATTCAGCATATTGAATATGGTATAGCAAATAACATGTCTTTTTACCAGTAACTTTTTGTTAATTTAGCTGAATAGTTAAGTTTTTTTAGGTTTGATGCAACCCTTGAAAGTGCTCAAGTTCCCACCTTTCCACCCTCACAATTTGTAAAACTATCTCTGTTAGTTTTTTTTTGTTAGAAGTATTAATGATGTACTTTTTTTGTTTCTCTGCTTGTTTTATTTTATTTGCCAAGGAGCTGTTATTTATTCACACATATTGCTGAAACTGGATTGTTCGAGCTTAGTTGAGTTTTTTTTATGCATTTGACAGTATTCATTTGAGTTTGACTCTCAGCTTTATTTTTTATTTTTAAAAGAGTCTGTGTTATTTCATATTTTCCTTTTTTTGCACAGGAATGTCTCTGTGGAGTTTGTGTGTATTTAAATATAAGGTAAAAGGCAATACATTGCTATGTGGACTGGAAACAAAATGTGATCTTACTTTGTATTATGGTGTTCACAAGCTCTAAGCGCATACTAATCTCAGACTTAATGTATTAAATATGTATGAACCCAGGTATAATAAATTCTAGGGGTTTAATTAAGTTCAGAGTCAACATCTCCTGTTTTTCTTTTTAGGTTTTAGGTAAAATTTTCACAGCAAGCAATTTTTTCTTGTTGCATTTTTTTCAGAAACATTAAGGATTCAATGAAATTAAAAATTTTCTGCAGTACTACAGTACATGTACAGAGATTTGTTTGATGCATATTGCAAATTTTGTTTAAATGTGCCTTAAGTATTGTGAGTGACTTTGGATTATGGCTTGTGGATTCTGCTGTATTTTGTTGGTGTCACTGAAGGGTCCAGTTGTAAGAAGTGTTATCTTTTCCTGGGACCTGATAAACTAAGAAAGACACAGTTATTTTAATGAATAAACTGTGACATTTTCCAAAATTAATACCTGGTTGTTGTCTGTAAATTTTATTCCACTAGTATTGTAACATGTAGATGAAATTTTTTAAAGCAACGGGGACTATTCTGAGAGGTGTGACATATTGGGGGGGGGGGGGGGCAACCAAAAGGTGTTTGTAAATGTTCATGGTAAATTTGGAGGTCTAGAAACATTCATTTTGAAGCTTGCCATTTTCTTTTGCCTCTGCATAGTTCTATCTTGTAAAGCATTGTGTCATGGCATATGACCACTGCTAGAGCCTAGATTTCATTTGCCATGGATGACCGTATTGCAAATATATCTCTTTCCGTGGGGCGTTTCAGTGGATGCAGACAGTGTGTGGCCATGAGAAATGGAATGAAATTGCACAGGTTTACAGCCTCTGCACCCGCATGTTATGTAAACATACTCGCCACAGCCTGTAGCCACTCACAATGTTTTAAAAATCGCACAAAAAATTGCATACAATATCATTGCATAGCTTCCTTGGAAAATGTAATCTTCAAGTTGGCTTAGTTATCCACCAAGCTTTCACCTGACCTTGAGGCGTATTACACCAAAAAAGAAATGCTCACAAAAAAAATGTACACCCAAAAGGATTTAAAATCAAGACTTAATGTTAAAAGAATTGGAAATGAAATATTTAAAAAATTTAACTTGTACAGACATAATATCGGGATGTAGAGTTCACTGAGTGAGCTCAAATTGCAGGACAAACCAAACCTTGCTTGTTTGATGTTCATCTTGGTTACATTGTGATAGGCCAAGATGGTCAAGTGTAATGGACCATTAATGGTCATTTTGTGGGGAGGAAACAAGTCCCTTAAAATGGCAAAATGGACTTAATGCCTCTTAACTACACGGTTATAATGTTCAAACAACTCTCATTTTGTACAGATCTTCAATGCTCAATATTTTGGATTTAACATTAAAGTTTTCATAGAATGTTATGATTTATTAACCATATCAATGCCAGATTGAGGTTGCATAGATAAATTGGAACAATGTTTCTTTACATTATGGTTACATTACGTATATACAGAGCCTGCAACCCTGAAAAGCTTTTTTTCTCATCATTTTAAATTACACTGGCATCCTACAGTTATCATAGTATATTGCATGTGTAGTTTTGGATTTGAATTGTAGATTTGTGTAAATCATCCGTGGCTGTGCATGGGACTGATAAATCTGAAAAATTTTTCTGTCTTAGGCAAAATTGAAAAACTGACATTTTACTTTGTACACCATACTATACTGACTTGAGGCTGGTTAGTATGTGTGGCCTTTTAATGTAAGTTTATTTCTTTCTATTTGTTATTATATTAAGATATTTGTTGTACATTAATTTTCCATGAAATAATTTCACTTGATAGTTCATTTTTTTTAATGTGCAATAGTTGTAAATGCTTGTTTGTGTACTATTCATTTTTTTTACAGTGCCACATTATTCATAGAATTTATGCACTCTGGTTTGGCCATACCTTTCTCTTTTCTTCCCTGTGTTATCTGTTTTTGGCAAATAAATACAAATGTCATGCAAACTGAACAACACCTTCAAAGCCCAAATTCTAGCATAATTGTTGTAGTCTGAAATTGATAACAATAACAAGCCTAATCTTTTCCCAGTTCTTGATTTGAGACAAGGTAGGAGAGGGCAGAGATGTCAGATAAAAGATTATATTTAGATATTTCAGCAGTTATGGTAATTTCATCCAGACAGGTGTTTGGATTTGGCATAGACCACAATTATTCCTATTTGAAGTGTTATGTTTTTGCTTGAAGAAAAATCATCATGATATCTCTTCAAGTATGCATGTTATTATAGTTGCCAGTTTTAATGCGCTGTAACCTACATCATAGCCCATAGGGTTGTGATAGAACAGGTGTCATTTTGCTCCTATAACAAGAGTGAGGACTTTTTTCTCGATGTTCATGTTGTGTAGGGCTCACAACGGGTTGTCTTGAACACATTCTAATTTGGTAGCTAAGTGATGCATATGTTGATACTGCACTTCATGTCACACAGTTTATCAGCCACTTAACCTCTTTCTATTTTTAAGTAAAAATTTAAATCAAAATCACTTCAGTGGCACATCCATTGGTATGTCATGTTGCTTTTGTCACAGTTGCAGTGTGCAGCTAATCGAACAGTTACTAGCTAGGGATGTAGAAAATCAAAATTGATAAAGAAGAATAAAAGTTGCAATCTGAGGTTGAGTGAAAAGAGAATAGGAATGAAGGAAAAACGAAAGGAAATCTGCATATGACCCCATCTGTGTAGCTTAAGGAGGGTTAATAATAAAGAGTGTCAAGAGATATAATCTAAAATGGATGGAAGATTGCTGTGCAGTTTGAAAATTTTTGACTCAGATACACCTATTTTTGTTGTGCCGAAAATGAATTCAGTTTATCACCTCTTTGCCATATTTGATTGTTGGATAGTTGGGCTATTTTGAGTTTTAAAGACAGTGTTTCATTGGTTCACCTTAAATTCTTAGTGATGTCTACTACATAAACATTGGCAGGCAGTCCACGCTGAAAGAGTATATGAACAAACTCCCAGGCACAGAGTGTCACAAATGTAAGGACATGACCATGTTCTAGATTGTTTTGATAAAAAGTTTTTTCAACATAAAAATGATATTTATTTGCACAACTACCGTGGTATAAGTTAGATTGTACATGCACTATAAGAAAATGATAGATGTTACTGAAACATATTACGACATTGTTCCCTAAAAGCAAGAATTCGATGACTAAAATATTAAGAGACCATTCCCAGAGACTATCATACTAACTTTCGGTCGAACTATCTCCAAGGGGATTCTCGTTTAATTGCAATTAACTTAAGCGATTTAGATGTCTCTCATGTCTACTGAAGCTGATAGGGGGTAAGTAACAATCATTTCGCAGCTTAAGCGGGCATGCCAGACATCTTAACCCCTTAAGCTGAAAACAATTTAGTGAGAAACCCCGTGGAGATGGACTGTTCCTGTTAGATCGATCTAGAGATGGGAACCCAGTCTTAGTCAATCAACTTCTTTGAAATAGTTCAATGCAATTATGTGCTGAAATTTTATTTTATTTTTTTTTTTTTTTTTTGGGGGGGGGGGGGTGGGGGGGCATGAAACTACTTCTTGGCATTTCAAGTAGATATTTGACACACCAACTCACTTCAAATGCATCTCAATTTTTTTTGCTACAGAAATCAACCAGATGTCACCACATAATTTCAAATAGTGTAACTTAGAAAAATACCTTAAGTCTATGTCTATTTGCTTTCTATGCTGTATGTAAATACGGCAGATAAGTAGGTTAAGTTTACGACCAAAAATTTTAAGAAGGTGCAGTTTAAAGCTCTTTTATGGCGATTGATTGATTCCGTTCATCCCTTGGCATGTCCACTTTATTTGAGTCATAAAAAAAAAACTAATAGTACTGGTTTATATTTGTTACTGGGCATCAATGCCCCATCACTGCTCAGTCCATATGTACCTTTAAAATTTAATCCATGCATCTCTCATAAGAAAAAACAACAATATTTATAACTGCAAAAAATCTACCTTTATTTTCTTGCCAAGACAGCAATAAATTAAAAAACCCTTGCTGCTTTAAACCCAATTCTTTCCATCCATCATTTTCAATGCAGCTGCATTACATTAAAAACACAGGGTGTTTGGGAATGACAAGACACCAAATAAAGCAAACTCAAGCTACAGCAAAAATTAAGTCACAGTACATACATCCATAAGAGCTCTTAAAAAATTCAAGGAAATATAGCTACAAGATATTTCAATGAAGTTAGGATTAGAAATATATCTTTCACATTGGAAATCAATTACAATAGTGCCACTGAGGTTATACAATATGTTTGATTTTTTTATAAATGTGATGACCAAGTATACTTGCATGATTGAGACTTGGGGAGTCACCACTGTTGAGTGCAGCACTATACCAGATAGAACTACACAGAGTCCCAATACAACTCTCTTATAAAAACCTTTCATGCAGTGATTATTTCCCCACAATATCAAAATTTTACAACTCTACTTTCAAGAGATTCTATTACTTTCACTTCAAAGTGTCTACCCATACTACTATTGGCGGCTATGGCAATACAACTGTGTACAATAGAGTCAAACTTATCGATTTTGTTAGGGAGTAAAAAAATAATTAAAAAAAATTATAAAGGTTTCTATGCTACAGGCAAACTAGCAACATCAAATGTATAGCTATTGTAGTATTATGTTCACTTGTGCAACTTTCACTTGCCACCAACTTATTCTTTGGTCTCAAGTGAGCACTCTGTGTGGTTGCTGCCTAGAGCGTGGAGATCATCCTTTTGCAAAATAGTGTCATCTAGTGAAAGGTCAAGATAAAAGCACAAAACTTTATCCAATAGCTCAATAAAATCAGTACTAGATTTGCAAAATATTTTAAGCGGAATCTTTTGTCAACTATAATTCTGAAGAAAAAAAAACTTGAGGGTGATCTGAATTACACAGAAGTGCATTACAACATGATAACCTGGACGCTTTCAATATTTTTAATGATAAAATGAGTCCGTTGCTCTGTAAACCTTATTGAGGAATCTAATGACTTATGTTACACTGAATGATGGGATTGTGACTGAAAATAATTCACATTTGACATTTAAAAACTCATTTTAAAAAGACAATGACAGATGCAAAGCTTTGTATCATGCAAGGGATGTGACAATCTAAAAGCAACAAAAATCTCTACCCTGACACATAATGCATTTCCAGACACCAAGAAAAAGAAAATAGATTGATCTCTGTCAAAATAACACATAATCCAGTTTGTACCCTCTAAGGGTTGGTGTCTTACTATTTCTGTGGGATTTGACAGATTTTCAAAACTTATTTGAAAAGATCCAAGTATACAGAAATATGATGCTAGACCAAAATTTCGAAGAAAGGGAATCCGTCACAGCTTGTAAAAAGAACGCTTAGTGCCTCAATTTATCCAAAATAAAACATGGAATGAATATTTATCCACCTGCCCACTAATTTTCCAATGATCATAATCATTTGGGTTGATCCACATTTAATTTTGCCCACGTCCTTTACCATTTCTTAGCCCCTGTATTGATATATACAATTGAGAATCATCATTTTAAACTGCCAGACTATTCAACTGCAACAGAATAGTGGTCCAAAAGAAATAGATGTTTTTGCATTATTAAATTACAACAAAAAAATCATTGAAATCATTATTCTTAAAAGATTTATTTGTGCTTTGCTATCAGGCAGAATTAGGGGTTTCCTCTAAAAAATAACAGATAAGAACACCTTTCCACATCATTTACATGCCCTTGAGGATAAACAATTGCTAAATTAACAATATCATTATCTGTGAATTCATTCTAGTTCTGTGGAATAAACAAGATACAACCAAGACCACATAGCCATCCAAATTATTTCTACATGATAGATGGTATTACAAAAACGGTCTCCTTTTTATCGGAATAAACTAGTACAAAAAGGCAGTTTGTCTCTGCTTTTATCATGCAATATTTAACATGCACATCGAGTCCATATAGATAAAATATTGACAGCACCCTCATATTGCTTCAGTACATTCAGAGCTGCATGTCTGGACTGGGACTGCAAGTGACCTGAGTATCTTGTTCACCATATATCTGTGCTTTCTATTATACAAAGAATCACCCACAAGGTGGTGCTTTTAATGCTTACATTTTTTGTTTTAGTCTTGACAACATTTGTTTGTTTGGGGAGAGTCCAGTGCACTAGACTTCATAACTCAAACAGACTTTTTTTTATCTGCAGTTGACATTCATTACAAAATCCAGTAATACAAAGAAGTTATTTAGAAAGTTTTTGCTGCCAATTTTACAAGATCTTAATGTGTTGAAGGAGCTCATAATACCTCATGAGAAAACTGTATTTCATCCCATGATGCTCTTATTTCCCTTTTTGAAACTTATATTAAAATCACCTGTCATTCAAATTATAATTCTTATTATCACCACCTATATACAGACTGCAGCACAGTGCAATCCCACTCAGAGGAAAACTAATTACAATCCACAGAGAAGAAAAAATAATATTTTTCTCCAATATGTACAAAACTGCAGATCTATTTTACAAACAATTCTTCTTCCAAATGGTAAGTGGACAGAACACATAAATGTGCATCTCTGAGGTACGATAAGAACAGCATGTAATCTATTACCATTAATCAAGACTGGCACTTCCAACTCCCCATTTCTAAAACCCCAACCTCCTCCTTTGACTTTGATTCCGCGGGAGAGCAACCGATTCCAAAACCGATCCACGAGCCTCTTTCCGCTATCTCCGCACTATGTGCATGCTGTTGGAGCCAGAGGAGTTCACGCTCCCTCTCACACTGCTGTTGTTTCCTGTCTGAGATACAGGCAGTTCAAATTCGCACAATAGTGCAAAGTGATCTGAAGGGATGTGCGGATGTGGACAGCCGTGGACTTTGTTCTCCTGGAACCACTCTGTGTCGTATGGACCCAATACCCCTAGAGGTGACATCAGATCCCGGGAATAGTAGATGTAGTCTATGATGCCTTTGAAGTCGTATCTGTAGTCAATAGAACATGTACAAGTTAAACTACGAAAACAATTTTTTTTTTCAATTTCAGTGATGGAACTGTGTCTCACTTACTCACAGATCGCACAATATAAATAGTAAATTTTTTTATGAAAAATAACAGAAATTTGTGAAATTGTGAACTAGAGCCATACAGTATACTTATAGAACAATAGTTATTGCTGTGTTAAGACATGTTTTCTGTAGACTAATATTGACTTTCCTTGGTTCATAATATCTCAGAAGACTGTGTGAATATGAATTCTAATCAATAGTAGACAATCTAACAGAAAAGAAATATTCATTACCAAGACAGTTGGCAGGACAGAGGCATGTTTTTGGCTTCTTGAGGTAAGAAATTGTAATAAAACAGTCTGCTGGATTAGTACTAAGTTATTTCGTCAAATCTTCACTGGCAATGCAACTTCAGAAGTAAAAATTTAGAAAATGTGTTCCAAGAGACCCCTTACGTGTAGTTTGTATACTGCATGACATCCTCTGAGTAGGCCTGTGACAGTTTAAAACTATGTGTATAGATGTCCTTGGACTCCCCACACTGGAATTTCTGAAGGCAGGTCTCGTAGCCTTTGTCTTTCATATCAAGGTGAGTGGTGGACACCATCCCTGTATTCAGGTACTCCACCACACCTGGAAAACACAACGTGAAAAAGGTTACAGTAACTACTCTGGTATGTCAAGTGATGATATTGATGAGTTAAACTGCCTTAAACAAAGGTTTGTAACTCAGACCCTAAATATATATATGCTGGTCCTACATTTCACATGGCTCTCTTTAGAAACTGCTGTCAAAATCAATTTGATTACTAAAAACATGACAGAACTTTTGTCATTCAAAGTTCTAGTCAGCTTAAAATAATTCTTTATAACTGCCACTGTCAAGAAATTTCAGTGTGATTTTTTTTTTTTTTTTTTTTTTTGAGAATAGTTTTTTTTATACACAGAAACTAAATTATATGCTGGTCCCACATTTTGTAAGGATCTCTTCAAGAATTGTTAGCAAATGCAATTTATTTAGTAAAAGAAATAACAACACGTCAATCATTCAAGTTTCAACTCGGTCTAAAATAATTCTTAACAGGGGGAAATGAATTTTCCAGATAAATGATGCAACAAAAAAGTAATCACATCCTCCTCCACTGAACTTTTAACGCAGTATTTCAACCTTTCAAGTCAGCCATGACAATTCTATTACCCCCACCCCACCTCTGCATTTTTTTAGGTTTTGCATTATACATTTGATGAGATTTTACTAGAATTCAGTTTTTTAGATTTCATTTTATTCTCAGAGGCACTAATAAATAATTAAGTGAAACAAAAGTGTTCCCGCTTGAAGTCTTGATTAATTTTTCATCTGAGTAATAGAGGCTACAATCAAATACTTATATTTCACAGTGGAAATGTCTCTTGGTGATATATAATGCCTTATTATATAAATGAGGCTTGTACGTAACTCACTTTGCCACAATAAAAATGCAGATTAAATAGCAGCCAAGCATTCCTAATTTGTTTTTGCCAGGTTGTATTCAACTTGATAAATAGCCCTGAATTATCAACTTTTCAAAACAAAGAATCATGTGCCCTCCTACCTTGTTGATAATCATTTTATTTTCATACTAAAAGGTATTCATATTTCAAAAAACAAACACCTTTTCAGAAAATCTGACCTGTTAAGCAGGTTAAACAATACCTAGCAGGTGTATAAATGCAGAAAAAAAAAAAAAAAAAGATTTCAGAAGAGTAAGACTTGTCATTTATCAAGAGCCTAATAAGTTGTCCCCCAATTTGTAGTACTGTAGTAGTGGCCAGTAGGAGATATCTCTGTCTGTATACCCCACTATATCATCATGACAGTCACATTATGCACCATAAGCCACCATCTTTTGTGGTCGTATTTCCTTAAATTCCACATCCATTTTGCCAGACTCCCCCTGTCAAGCTTATAATGGTAAAGGTATTCATCTTGACTGCCTTCACACTTTCTACCATCTGGACAAATTTCAACATGATTATGATATGTTGGACAAAAATTAGTCTGCTCCTGTAATATTTCAAACTCAAAATGGAAATGTACTGTCTTTATGGGACGAATGGGGCATCAGTTATGCAAACAAGATTCATTTCCTACCACAGTCTGCATCAAATGAAACGATGAAATCCCCAAGTACTTTCAGCCAGCCCTGTCATGATTACTAAGATTATGACCCACATTTATCCATAGTTAGAAAAAAAATTATTATTATTATTTTTGGGGGGGGGGGGGGTGCAGTGATGTTTTAAAACATCAAAAAGTCGATCACGATATAAAGCCCTTGATGAAGGGTCAAAATGTTTCAAAGGGTCAAAAGGTTAAGAGAAAAGAAAAGAAAAAACATGTTTAGTCTCTTAATAACCTTAATTAAAGGGATAATAACTCTTCGTTTCGGCCAAAAAATGAATTTTCCTGGAGTAAACAACAATTTTCCCATACTCACCAATGGTTAATGAATCCATTTTTACATTCAAAGTTAGTCCCCGGTTTTTTTCTAAAAAGTTTGGTTTTTTGTTAAAATCTCTTAAGAGATTTTAACAGAGTATAACCATCAATGGAGGTCACATGGTCTAAAGAAAAGCTCAGATATCAGAATAATAGCTATAACTGCCGTTTTTGTGGTAAAACAGAATATATTATATTTCTATGAGTTATTCACAATGTTTTTATTGTGAAATATAGATCTCATACCAAGAGTTATTATCCCTTTAACTTTTTTTTATTAAAAAATTCACCATACCTGAACTGGGTAAACTGTTAAAATCCCCGCATAAAATCAATGGAATGGAATTGACTTCTGTGGCACCACTGGAGCCCGGACGGAAGCTAACGGTTGTCTCCTTGACGATATTCTTGAGCTCCCACATCAGCATCATTGTCTGGATGAGCTTGACGTCACTAAATTCTGGGTCCCAGTGTATGTGTGCTGTGGCCACTAAAATAGGCTGCCGTACTTCTGACGGGAGACCTGTAAGAAACGCGAGATATTTGTAGAGGCTAGGATAAACTTTGGTATCAACCATCATCATCATCATCAATTTCAAACAAACAGATTCTGTGTATCAACACAATCTCTAAGAATTGGAGCACTTATCACATCCAGCATATTTTGCAGAGATTTTCATTTCTGAAAATAATTCATCAGTATAATAATAATAATAATAATAATAATAATAAATATTCAAAAGATTGAAAATTTGTTGATTAAAAGGAGATGTCTGTAAGCAAAATAATTCCTTGGTATCTTAAATAGATAACCTTTGTCTGATCTATAATGTCAGATTTCTATCCTTGACATTATTAATGGGTCTCCTGCACAAATCACGCAAGTTAAGTCAGCAACCCTACAGAGAAATAATCAAAAAAGTTTTGAGTCAAAAGGTTAATTCTGTCTTTGTTTCCAAGTGGGTGCGGCTTACAATCAATCTTCTTCCTAAGCTCTGATCACTGGCAGGAGCAGCACAGCAGGACTGGCACAGGAGGGGAAATCAACTGTTACATAATTTTTTTTTCATTAATATAATAGTTTTGATGATGATGATGATGATGACAAAGATGATGGACCTTTATGTTCCATAATTCTTGAAATTAACAGCTGAACATTTTTCTGAAAACTGCAGCAACCTAACTCAACCCACTCCCCTTCACAATCTATCTCAAAAAGCTTTCAAAGTGGTGGTCATTTTCTGAAAGTGTGGCCAACTAATCCTAGTGTTAATTATCACACAGTTTTGTTTTGAGTGAAGAAAAGCTTTCTCAGAATCATACCAACTATTGCCCTCCATACAATTTCCTGTGCAAAGTTGGTTCAGGGAACACCTAGAGTACAGGACATTTCAACATCACTCCTCTGTTCATGAGCACTCAAACATATTTTAACTCAATTTAACTTCTGCCACTAGGTCAAATGACTTCACATGAAATGCACTAAGCTTTTTAATTAATTAACTCTAAGATCCAATTTCCTAAAACATAAATAACAGAATGGTGCACAGATACATAGGTTAGGGCAAATATGATCAAGTAAAATAATCAATGAACAAATGGACTTTCCTCTTTAATTTCCTTTGGGTTTAATCAGAACCTTTAAGCTCAGCTTCACACTGTTGACCTTTATGCAGTGGCTACTTACATGCTTATGCTAAGAACTGATGTCAAGCAGAGACAACTGATGGCTTAATGAAGAATATCTAGTGACATTCTAGACATCATATCAATACAGGCCAAGTGAATTAACATTCATTTGGGTTCTCCTGAGATCTATTTCCACCCCCAACTTAAATGAGGATTTATTGTCAACCTCCATGGCACTGCATACTTTTCATGCTGAATATGTAAGATGTACAGACATGCACAAACAAATGTCGTCACTAGTTAAACTAAGACCCTAACATTTCTATGCATTTGAAAGTCAAGTCTTTTTGTCACTTCTGGAAAAACAGCATCTTGATTTTTGATGTCATATATATAGATGTTTCATGACGTTTATCTCTTTTAGATCCCTGTCTTTTCTCTCTCTCTCTTTCTTTTGGGTGTTATTCAGTCATGCTAAAATGCATATAAAAAGAACAGTCTCGAGTTTCTATCTTTTTAAAGGATAATATGGTGCCGAAATATGGAGCCACTCTGAATCAAACTATGACAATAGCTCATGACAGAAATTAATTGTTTATTCATCTTCTGTATATTAGCTGAATGTATTCTTCTTCTTCTTATTATTATTATCATTATTATTATGGTACCTACCATTCTCAAAGACTCCCTCCTTGGTTTCTAGCAGGGCAGCTAAACCAATGTTGTCTTTGGTCATTACTCGGTTCAACATGTCATCAGAACCTTCTGCATTAGCCATGGCCAGCTGGTTGAACTCAATCAAGTATTCTTTACTGAGACCAAACCTGCAAAGAATTATCGTAGTAATTAATATTTAATTAAAAAAAAAAAAAACTAATCAAAAAGTAAAGTACATAAAAAAAAGTCATTACATAATCATGCTTTACCTAAGGCATTCCATTTAAATGTAGTCAGTGTGTTGATGAATGTAGAAATGATTTTTAGTAGTTCCTGAAAATATTTGCTGAATTATCTTTTTACTGGATATTACAGTTGCCATACATTTTCTTGTGGAGATGTATCTCTCACAACCCTGCACAAAATACACTGTTATCCAGCAAAAGAAAATTGTATGTGAAACTTTGAACCAATGTCAAGTTTTCCCCAATGGTCATGACTCATTCACTTATCTATGTCAAGAGAATCCTAACATCACAAAGTGTCTTTATAACACAATTCCGTGTTCTGATTAAAAAAATCTATGCATCTCATAACATGCTTCACTAAAATACAGGTGAGACAATGTCCCAGTTCAATCTACCTCATTATACTTCAAGTTCATTCAACCTGCTTCTCATTCACAACACAACATACTGAGAACCAGTGTCTCCAATCCAGGATTCATTTTCAGCATAAAATAAAGATAAGCACACACACACACTTTTGCACGCTTACAATAAAATAATAGGATTAAAATTCCTTATACACAATTATATAACCATGTATCTTCAATCATATAACAAGCCTAATGCAGAAAGTGCAAAAACACCATTTGCTACAACTTCAGTCCATCAAAGACTTGAACCTTCTCAAATTCCTCCAGTTTTGTTCACAATTTTGTTTGAACTATCATAAATTGCCCAGAGTATTGGTTCCATACAGTGTAATTATTCAAATGTCATTTCTAGTACACCCAATGCATGAACCCTATAAAATACCCCCAGATTATAAGCAAGAGGCAATACCAGGGGCGAATTCAAAGATATTATCTGACGGTCTTCCAAAGTAACTTTGTTGACCCGTCCTCCATTTTTGACCGTCTTCCGACAGAAAAAATCGATACCCGTCAATGTAAACTTGAAAATCTGACCGTCTTCTGGAAGACCCAGAAGACGGCCCAAATCCGCCCCTGAATACTGATCAATAACTTGAAGCTTCTCAATTTTGTTCAGTTTTGTTTACACTTGTTCAGTTTTGTTTACACTTGTGTGCAGACTATCAAATTTAAGTACTATCATTACATCATAAGAGTATACCGAGTATTCCAATTCTGGAGAGCAGATTGCCAAATTTTTACATTTTTTTTCTTTCTCTTGATGCATTTGGTCCAAAGCAATTTATCCATAGACAATCACTGATAAAATTATATAAAAAAAAAAGATAAGTAACTTATTTTTACTTGTCAAAACCTCCGAGACTATTTTTTCCATTAGACAACAGCTTTTAAAAAAATCGACAGATCAATGCATTTGGATGATGAGTAAGTTCTAGAATAACTGTAAAAACATGCTGAAAGATTTCCAGGGCTACTATTCTGTAATCCAAGAGTATTATCTCGGATTTGTGACAGAAGATTACAAGATGCAATATCCTGTGGATGATATCAATTTTGATCCAACTGTCATGAATGATCTACAAAATACCAGTATCAAATCAACAACAAGGGCAAATAAGCCTTCAATTTCTCCAACCTAAAAATCTAAAATTCAAAATCTTCAAATCTATTTTGCACTAATATGGGTCAGTCAATACTGGAGGAATGCATAATTTTTTGTATATTAACCATACCAGCATTGACCAGCAGTACTGGAAACTACCTTTAAAATAGACACATAATGCACAAGTAACATATCCTACATACATGCTGCCAAATAGGTGCGTATATGCAAGCAATTAATGTTGCGTTGGAGAGGGGGGGGGGGGGGGGGGCTACTATTGCTCTTACACTCCAATTGTGACAAATTCACTTCAAAGGAGTTGAAAAAAAAATGAAACTGGCAATTAAGTTCATATCTAGGGAGTTACATGACATTTTGATCTTATATCAGAACAAAAAAGCTGGTGACAAATGAGTGCCTTGCGTTTCCTCTGCACAATGAAGGAGGTATCTTGATGTATCCGGAGACAATAAAGACACTCAAAACCAACCAAAACCAGCTTTACCATACTGCCACTTACTTCGAGGTACGATAAAAAATGGCACAGCCGTCTACATGCTTCCGGTCTTGTTCGCTCATTGTCCTTGCCCGTGACTTTGGCGAAAAGATGCCATCATAACCATCTTGCTTCAGCTCAGGAAGAAAATAGTTGTAGAATTGGTCCGTCTCTACTTCCTAAAAGTAAAAACATGTCTTCAGTTATTCTTTCAGCTGAAACACTTTTTCACAAAATTTAATTTTGTGTTAATACTATCTTTTTTCATGTAAAATCTGATATCTGATTATTTTAAATTACTAAAATTTTGCAATTCATATAGGAGAAAATTTGTATATGTATATTTTTCAGTATGACAAAATAATGTGGAAAACAATTTTACCAGCATTAAGCATTTGAATTACCTGTAGACTGATAATATCTGCATTGTAATGGCGAATCTCTTCCAGTATTCCCTTTTTCCTGTATTCCCAGTTTAGTGCCCATGTTGGGCAGTAACCATAAAGCTGGCGTGTTGCATACTTGTCGCAGAGAACATTGTAACACATTACAGTAAAAATGGCTGGAAAAGATGAGAAAAGAAAGGGTTAAGTTTCCTTCATTACCTCGCAGACGGTTTACACTGATTCAACTCTAAAGACAACAGACAGTATTGACACGTATGTTTCCCAGAAAATGATACATATTAAACTGGGTGTTCCAAAACTGATACTGTTTAAAGTCCTTTTCACAGAGTTTGACTCTCTCTCTCTCTCTCTCTCTCTCACACACACACACAAACACACACACACACACACACACACACACACACACACACACTCTCAGAAGCAGATCACACAAGAACCCCATATTGCCCTAGATATCTATATTGGGCTCTGATTTATAATTTACATTAATATCATGTTAAAAAGTCTAGAAGAGAATACAATCACACTTCTTTTCATGTGTTATGCTGACTGCATAAAAGCCCTAGTTAACAGACATGAGCATTATTGCAAAAGAGCATTTATTTTCTTGTCAAAATAGGTTTTGCTAAAACTGTAATAAATAGAAGGCTTAAAAACTCTACATTTCTGCTCTATTTCAAACTAATGTTATTTCTAGATAAATAAAATGTATAAAAATAATGAGGTAATCACAAAAGGTTGCTTGGGTGTATTATATGTTGCCAATGCCATATTGACGTCTGACAGACTGTTTATTTGAGCAATTGCTCCATGGAGAACGAAACACTGCTCTTCCCTTCCATGTTTCATCTAGTATTGATTGTGAACATTGTGTTGACAGTCTCCATTTTCTCAGTAATGACACATTTAATTGCAAGTTATTGCATTCTGAAAAGGTCACCTTATAATGAAAGACTCTGTTAAAGGACCCAAGTCTTGCAAAAGAAGTGACGGATATCACCACCTTAATCTTGTAGGAGCTACACAGTCAAAAAAGAACAAAAAAACTGTCACCATTATGCTAATGGTCTGACATAAATGTGTCCCCTCTGCAATACATATGTACTGGCAATATGCTTGCATGAGGGGTCACATTCTGCTGAGGGGAGACAGCATTCATATTTCACAACCAAGGGATAATTATGATTGGGATGAATGACAAGGAAACTAAAAAGCAAAAACAAGGAAGCTGGTGGCTCAAATTGTCAGTCATCTGCAATTAGAGCTACTGACACCTTTGTTTGACATTAATATACCGCTGGTTTTATGCATGTACTAGTAAATGTAAGAAAGGATAAAAAAAAAAGTCAGGAGAGGATGACATGCAGCCTCCATTAAACTAAATCCACTTCCACTCTCGGTAATATTGTAAAAAAAAAAAAAAATCTAAAATCTATCCTATATGTAAATATCTAGAAATACTTAAAATAATTTTAAATCAAATGAGCCCTATAACTAGCATCTTATGTAGCATTTTCTGTCAATTTGTGATAGCTTTACTAAGTTCTTACCAGTATGAGTCATCAAGGCTACTACTTTGAGCAGAGCTGTCAGAATTTTGGTCTAGTTTTAAGATTAATTTTCAATTACCTATAAATATGGTTTAAGGAGTAGTTAAATTTAATAAAGATCAGTGTTTCAAGAGCTACTTAGCATTTTCCCAGTATGCTCAAAATTTTAAGGCACAGGCTGGCCTTGAGTTTATTATCATCATCACTAAGTAAAGTACATGACTTAAATACAGTAGCCAGTAGTGGGATTAATTTTAACACCCTATGGTTATAAATCTTAATCAAAGTCTGCTAAGCTAGAACATGCTAAGTTAGGCTGCTTTTACTTAACTAGAGATTTGCCTTTATTCTTGGACACTTATCCTAAGTCCCTCCTTCTTTTTCAAGTTATATATGAAGCAAGTGTAGATTCCCTGTAACACATATGAACCACTCCTACTTGTTTCTTATACAACTCAAATAAAGTCATGGCCAAGGAATAAATCAAATAAATCACTAAAACAGGAAACAAAATTGGTATAAAAATGCACCTTGTTCATATTTCTGGTTGTAAGCTTGACATTTTCAAACATCCCTTGTTTAAGTGTACCCTCTACCAGGGCGAGTGATAGATTTTTACAGATATTCACAGATACGCCTCTAGCTAGATAGATGGTCATTTAGGGCTCAAGTCACCCTGTTGAGGAATCCCATGTGAAAACAATTATCTCTGCGCGAGCGCCAAAGGCTTTGTACTTGCTCTGCATGAGCTGAGCTTCACAACGATGTGATAACTGCTCGTTACGCAACCAGTCTAAGGCTTTTTTATCTGTCACAGAAGAGCAAGTGATTGAAGTCAGAGTAATTAACTGTCTTGATTGCTGTCACGCAGACTTAGACTGGACCTGCTAAGTGGCAGTGCCTGAGCAGCAAACAATTATCAGCCATGAAATCAGCCTTGAGATTTCTCAACAGGGTGAGTTGAGCCCTAAATGACCATCTATCTAGCTAGAGACATATCTGTGAATATCTGTAAAAAATCTATCACTCGCCCTGGTAGAGGGTAGTTAAAGTGTATCTTTTCATCTTTTTAAATATCATTTTTGACTTCACATGTTAAGAGATAAACAGGGATTAGTTAAGAGATAAACAATGCAAATCTTCTTGTCATTCCTAGAATAAGCAAAAAAAATCACATCCCCCTAAATCCTCTTCATCCACCCCAAGGAAGAGAATAATAAGAGTATTGATATCAGAGAGTACTGATTTACTATCAAGCGATGCTCTCAGTCACGATTTCAGAATATAGAAAGTTTCCAGTAGTTGGTTAGGGAGGGGGATGAATTTCCATACACCATACATTTTCTTCATCTCTTGCTCTTATTTGGGATTGAAGTCTTGGGACTTCAGTGTATGGCATATAACACCTGTTTTAAAAGTTAACCCATATTTGGTCTGCGGACTTCTTAGTCCGCTGTTGTGAATGTGGCCACAGTCACCAAGAAGAGTCACTGACAAAACTGCGTTACTATGCAATCAACTGATACGATAACCATCTTACCAGTTGGTTTGTTCCTCTCTGGGTGTGCCAGTGGAATCCATGGACGCTGTGGTGGCTGGGTGGCAGTGACTAAAAAGACAAAACATTTCAACATTTATGAATCGCATAGCAATGTTTCCACTAAGTCACATTCTTATATATTTATTGTACAATAGCATAATGCAATGTTATTCAACAATATAGAAATTTGAAAAGTTTAATGAAATAGTATATTATTTCAAGGTAAATAACATGAAAAATATATATTGAGACTTATTAACTGAATCTAATTATGAACAGAAAAATGCATTTAGACATTCATTCTCACAACTTCAGGTACACCAGTAATGGTAAATACTTGTACATGAACAGCCCTGTCAAAACAGCAATATTAACACACAATAACCCAGTGATATACTTTAGGGGTTAAAATTACTTCCAAGTAAAAAGTAAAGGAGAAAATCTGAAGTCCCTCTCTCACACAATTCATCTTTTCCTATGTCTCAATGTACATACACTAAATATTGTCCTTAAATGTTATATCTTATTCCCTTGCTTTAAATAACAAAATATGCCACGTTTCTTCAAACCAACAAATAAAAACCCAAGCCAATGAATACTTCATTATTACAGTGTGCGTGTGTGTGTGTGGTAGGAGTAAACTGATGAGGGTGTAGTTCTGTTCTTTAAATCTTGATGCCTGGGTCAATGCACCATAACTGTATCTCCTAACCAGATATTTGTGAAATTAACCATACAATATATGTAGGTCTGTTAAGGTCAGAAACCATACCAAATAACCCACTATTCTTTTTCCCCATGACCCTATGATACAAGGCACTTCCTATGCCTAGAAAAGGTTTCCTGGAAAATCATTGTTATCTTCAAGAAGTCATTAAATCTAATCAATATATCTCACCCCAAATGATGTATGATTTCCCAGCTTTCTTCACTTGTTTCTAAGAATGTCAAGCAGATCCTATTCATATTTACCCAGCCAATGCATAACTCTTCCATTGTGATAGTCAATCTATCTTGTTTCTCTATTACAATTTTCAAAACTGTTCTAGATAATACTAAGATCGAAGTTGTTAGCATCTTGTTGGTTATCAAATGAATATTTCAGCAATATAGCTACAGCAAGACCAGCTTAGCAAGCACTACAGTTCCCACACTGATCTGAGCCCATTACTCCTAAATCATTGTTACAGTTCAGTGACTCTTTATTCACCCGTTTTACGATATTCCCTTCTGTCTCTTTTTTAAAAGTTTTTCTTTTTTAATTCTTTTCCTTACATGTATTTTAAAACTCTATACCATTCTAAAAAGATTTATGAATTTTATGGCAATCCACACTGATCCAACATGGCATAATCCTGATTACCAACAGTTATCTGGGGTCACACCAGTCATTCTCAGACAGAGAGGACATGGGTCAAGATAGATACTTTGTTGTGGACAAAAAGTTAACTAAGCATGGGCCTAAATATACATTTTGCTCTTAATTAAAAGCTTATTTGTAAGCACTGTAGTACAATGCTTTTTTTTCACTTTTTAAAATAATATCTTTGCAAAATATCTTTAAAAAACTTGAGCAGACCACAGAATAGCCATAAAACAATATCCCTTACAAAGCATTACAAGACATGATTCAATTTAATCAAAATATATAATCTTGCATTTTAGCTCAATCTTAACCAAACTTCTTCTGCAATGTGTGTACACAAAGTTCTGAAACTTATCAAGTTACCTACATCATTACCCAAGGATCGATCTATCTCTGAGGGGATTCTTGCTAAATTGCAATTAACTTAAGCGGCTTAGATGTCCGTCATGCCTACTGAAGCTGCTAGGGGGTAATTAATTAGCATTTAGCAGCTTCAGTAGGCGTGCCAGACATTAAAGCCTCTTAGGCTGAAACCAACATTTAGCAAGAAACACCTCGAAGATGGATCATTCCTGTTAGATCGATCTAGATATGGAAACCCAATCAAACTAACAAGGCATTATTAACCTATCATTTTAAACTTAAATACTCAGTGGTGCAAGCGCTACAATGGACATTACACTCATAGTGTACGTGAACTGAAATGAAGGGTCTAACACTGAGTCCAACAGCATTCCTGCCTGGATCAACATACCTTTGAGGACACATTTGTTTACAAAACTGGTCTCAGGACATGTCTTTTTTTATCTGACCTTATTACACCTGCATTCTAATCTGACATACTCCANTAAGTTACTTTAAATAACTGGCTCGCGCTGCCAGTAATTACGCTGCGGGATATTCAGGGCACAGACCATGATCATAAGATACTGAGAATAGAAAATAGATTTTTAGAAAATAAACTTTCCATGTGAACGAAGCCTTAGTCCGCTGTTGTGAATGCAGCCACAGTCACCAAGAAGAGTCACTGACAAAACTGCGTTACTATGCAATCAACTGATATGATAACCATCTTACCAGTTGGTTTGTTCCTCTCTGGGTGTGCCAGTGGTATCCATGGACGCTGTGGTGGCTGGGTGGCAGTGACTAGAAAGACAAAACATATCAACATTTATGAAACACATAGCAATGTTTCCACTAAGTCACATTCTTATATATTTATTGTACAATAGCACAATGCAATGTTATTCAACAATATAGAAATTTGAAAAGTTTAATGAAATAGTATATTATTTCAAGGTAAATAACATGAAAAATATATATTGAGACTTATTAACTGAATCTAATTATGAACAGAAAAACGCATTTGGACATTCACTCTCACAACTTCAGGTACACCAGTTATGGTAAATACTTGTACATGAACAGCCCTGTCAAAACAGCAATATTAACAGACAATAACCCAGTGATATACTTTAGGAGTTAAAATTACTTCAAGTAAAAAGCAAAGGAGAAAATCTGAAGTCCCTCTCTCACACAATTCATCTTTTCCTATGTCTCAATGTACATACACTAAATATTGTCCTTAAATGTTATATCTTATTCCCTTGCTTTAAATAACAAAATATGCCATGTTTCTTTAAGTTGAGCCATTTCAACAAAAACCAACAAATAAAAACCCACGCCAATGAATACTTCATTATTACAGTGTGCGTGTGTGTGTGGTAGGAGTAAACTGATGAGGGTGTAGTTCTGTTCTTTAAATCTTAACGCCTGGGTCAATGCACCATAACTGTATCTCCTAACCAGATATTTGTGAAATTAACCATACAATACATGTAGGTCTGTTAAGGTCAGAAACCATACCAAATAACCCACTATTCTTTTTCCCCATGACCCTATGATACAAGGCACTTCCTATGCCTAGGAAAGGTTTCCTGGAAAATCATTGTTATCTTCAAGAAGTCATTAAATCTAATCAATATATCTCACCCCAAATGATGTATGATTTCCCAGCTTTCTTCACTTGTTTCTAAGAATGTCAAGCAGATCCTATTCATATTTACCCAACCAATGCATAACTCTTCCATTGTGATAGACAATCTATGTTGTTTCTCTATTACAATTTTCAAAACTGTTCTAGATAATACTAAGACTGAAGTGTTTAGCATCTTGTTGGTTATCAAATGAATATTTCAGCAATATAGCTACAGCAAGCCCAGCTTAGCAAGCACTACAGTTCCCACACTGATCTGAGCCCATTACTCCTAAATTAATGTTACAGTTCAGTGACTCTTTATTCACCTGTTTTACGATACTCCCTTCTCTTTCTTTTTTAAAGTTTTTCTTTTTTAATTCTTTTCCTTCCATGTATTTTCAAACTGTATACCATTCTAAAAAGATCAATGAATTTTATGGCAATTCACACTGATCCAGCATGATCCTGATTACCAACAGTTATCTGGGGTCACACCAGTCATTCTCAGACAGAGAGGACATGGGTCAAGATAGGTACTTTGTTGTGGACAAAAAGTAAACTAAGCATGGGCCTTAATATATATTTTGCTCTTAATTAAAAGCTTATTTGTCAGCACTGTAGTACAATGCTTTTTTTCACTTTTTAAAATAATATCTTTGCAAAATATCTTTAAAAAACTTGAGCAGACTACAGAATAGCCATAAAACAGTATCCCTTACAAAGCATTACAAGACATGATTCAATTTAATCAAAATATATAATCTTGCATTTTAGCTCAATCTTAACCAAACTTCTTCTGCAATGTGTGTACACAAAGTTCTGAAACTTATCAAGTTACCTACATCATTACCCAAGGGACCATTCCCAGACCCTATCATACTCTGAGGGGATTCTTACTAAATTGCAACTAACTTCAGCGGCTTAGATGTCCGTCACCCCTACTGAGGCTGCTAGGGGTAATTAATTATCATTAAGCAGCTTCAGTAGGCGTGCCAGACATTAAAGCCTCTTAGGCTGAAAGCAACATTTAGCAAGAAACCCCTCAAAGATGGATCATTCCTGTTAGATCAATCTAGATATGGAAAGCCAATCAAACTAAGGCATTATTAACCTATCATTTTAAACTTAAATACTCAGTGGTGCAAGCGCTACAATGGACATTACACTCATAGTGTACGTGAACTGAAATGATGGGTCTAACACTGAGTCCAACAGCATTCCTGCCTGGATCAACATACCTTTGAGGACACATTTGTTTACAAAACTGGTCTCAGGACATGTCTTTTTTTATCTGACCTTATTACACCTGCATTCTAATCTGACATACTCTACAGAACATCTATTCATTTCAGTTCAGCCCCAGCCTTCGATCCATTTCTGCTTGCACTACCAATTTTTATGCTGCAACATCTGATGATAATCAAAAAAAGTTTTTTGGATGACCAGGGTGGGAAAGGGGGGTGGGGGCAATAAGATAAGGCAAAATGTTTTACCACTATCACATAAGCCACAATGGCTGCCACATTTTTGCCATGAAATTTGGAAGGACACTTCAGTTGACTAACTATCTTGTGATGGCGTAAATTGGCCTGGAAATCGGCCTAGATGCCTGGTTATTGCTTCCAGGTCATTGGCATCAGGTTTCCTAGAACTGAGCTACCAACAGGTTATCATGTGACATTTCAAAACTCAAAAACAATCTTTTTTTTTTTTTTGCAACAGGTATACCTCAGTAATCATCCAAAAATGTTCTGGATTTTTGGGGTACACCCACATCATTAAATACAGTAATATGATGCCAATGCAGCTATCACCAAAGATGTTTAACCTCAAAATTACATACACTCAATTTCTCAATTTCAAACAGCTGCAGTAAGAAGCTGTGACAAACACATATTACCATCAAGTCATCTAAGAACAGTGGTATCTGATTACAGTCATGCACGTCAAATTATCTCCACTTCTGAGAAATTTATCAAGCAATTCCATAAGTCAGGAATATAGAGAAACCTCAAGAACAAGTAAATATGCTTGCAAATTCTGCAATCACTGCTAAACTTTTCTTTAATTCTAATTCATTACTGTGACAACAAAAGAACACAGTTAATCGGTATCAAATTGTGGTGATCAGGGATGAATATAAAGCAACGTAGTGCATATATGAAGTTTGTTCTTCAAACTACCCAGTTGCAGTTTACAATCATATTAAGGCATCTTTATACACATTTTTTGCTAGAATTTGAAGTTAAGGGTCACTCTTGCAATGATGATTGAAATGGAGGCCATTTCTAAGGTACTATGTATGGCTGTATTGAACAGCGGTTGTCATTTTGGACCCAAATTGTAGTGCAATGGTCATTTTGGATTACTGTGAAACAGACATTACATTTTTTGGTTTTTCAGGTCAACTTACATCAAGCACTCCAAAAACTGCAATTACTGAAACCCTCCAATCTGAACTAAAGGAAAGTTTTGGCACTTCCTTCCTGACTCTATCCTAGTAGTTCAATTGTTACATCCAGAATGTACCATATCATACCATGATTCAATATTCCTGTCATTCACGTCATTACATCCAAGTAAAACAAAAATTAACAAAACAATAAAGAATTTAAATTAACATATTCCTGTCATCTTTCATTGATCTGCATCAAACATATTTGATTTACTTACATATTTTGTGCAATTTGTTCTGCTACATTAACTCAGAGCACAATGTGCTTACAGTTACACAATTGACAACACTGATAACTGGGATGGTTGTGCCACCATCAACACATCCAAGTCTAAAAATCACCTTTTAACTCTGATGGGTATCTTGTAGGTCAAATTTGAGGTTGCCATTGGGACATGGGCTACGGCAATGACTTGAAAACTTTTAAAACAGCATCCAACATTCATGGAGGCCGAATTTTAAGGATAAAGAAACTTTATTTCTGAAATAAAGGTACTTGGGGAAACAACGTGTCAACAGCACCAAGACCATGATAAGCATATCAAAAGCCCCACCTTTTATAATTATGTGTTACGTCATTCTAACTAATTTGACTTAATTTCATTCATCAGTTCCCAACCTACGTTCAATAGGGTGACTCCCGTTTTCGCCCACGTCCGCACACATAATTATAAAACTTAGCAAATAATTTTATTCCATAAGTCTTGGTTATAACACTGGTCAGTGGAGAATGGTGGAGATGGGAGAAGGTGAACTAAGGGTAATGGCTTTGCTTACAGACTAATTAATGTTCAAGAAAAGGGACTTGCCCAGTGAAGAGATTCCCTAAAACACTTCTTTTCTATCACATTCAAACCAGGCAAAAATGCTATCAATTCTTAAGTGCTGGCTTTTAAGTCTAACGACATTACCTTATCTCCCAGCAAAACATCTCTCTCTTCCAGGTCTTAAACTATGTCATATACCCCATTCACACTACAGTTGCCAAAATGCGCATTTCTATAATTCGGATTTTTCGTAAGGAATCCGATTCGGAATTGCGTTCACACTCGCTAAGCGAATCCGAATCCCACCTTGAGAATTTCAGGTTTAACTTCCTGTTTTGAACACTCGCGCATGCGCCACACAGGAAATCTTAAAATATCAACAAAAATTTGTGACGACAAATGCAACTCAAAAGACATTCCAGCATTCTTGAGAAGTATAAGGTGGCAAAATAAGTTTGTTTCCTCATGTTGTAGTGAGTGGTGACCTCCAAATACGTTTGGTGCAATCGCTAAAGTAATAAACCAGCGTTCATAGATACCCGCACTTATCTGCACACATGCGCAGTAAGATCTGTACAGGTGTCGATTCCGGTAAGTTATCCGGATCGCGCTTAGAAATCCACCTCGCTTGCAGGATTTTGAAAATGCGCATTTTCAAAATCCTCTTGCGTTCACACTACTGCATTTTTTCGAATTGTGACCTAATTCGCAACTTATCCGGATAACTGAGCGTAGTGTGAACGGGGTAATAGAAAAGTGAAGGAAAAAGGCTGCAGCAACCAGTTCATACATAACTGAACATCAATTATCCACAACCTCATCTCTATTTTAAAAAATAATAATACAATCATTATTCAAAGAAAGAGAAGGAGAGACCATTGCCTTACTGAATGAACATACAATCAATAATGCCATTTAAATAATATTCTCTCATAAACAAGTTAAG